TGGGGATTTTTTTTTTTTTTTTTTTGCTCTGCATCCGTGTGTCACTTAGAAATCATTTCTTTTCTAGAAAATCTGTTCTCCTCCCCTCCACCCCCAAAGTGAAAAGGGAATCTGTGCTCAAAGCCAGTTGAGGTTGCAGATAGACCGTTCCCTTCCTGATCCTTATCTCACCAGGATGTAGGAGGACCCTTGGGGAATAGCTGGAAGCCTTTCGCTGGAGCCATCCAAGAAACGCGCAAGCTGACTGCAGCCTTTAAATGGCAAATCCATCAAGTGCTGGGGGACCAGGATCCCAAACGCCGTTTAACCCCATCGAAGTACGACAGCCCCCGGCCCAGAGCCCGACCGGCCCCGCACACGGGCTCCTCCTCGAGCCGCCTTCCGCACAGAGCTCGGTGGGCGCCACCGCGCCAGCTAAATAACACGGTCTAAAAATACACCTTCGGATCCTAATCTAAACCAAAGCCTTAAACTGCCAACTCACAAACTTACTCCAGCTGCAGCCCGCTCACGGGCGGGTAGTTTTGTGTGGCAGCAAATCCCTGGCTGAGTTTCTCTGGGGCCGTGAGGGCTCCGGGGTGGCCCGGGCAGGGCGAGGCAGCTGGGTGCCATGCAGCAGGACTGGGAATCAATGGTGGTGGGGAACAAAGAGGGGTCTGGCCCTTTCCTCCGCCTCGGGCTGGGGCACACCAGCACTTGTGGGCGCAGCTCTGAGCTGCAGCCCAAAGCTCTCGACAGCGCCGTGGCTGCGGGGGGGGACAGAGCCGTCCTGGGTGACCGGAGTGGGCTGGGGGTCCCGGTGACCACCTTGAACCCAGGGGCTGACAAAGGCTCTGTCACCCACCTCAGCATCACCCTCCCACTTGTCCAGAGCAGGATGCTGAGATGTCCGACAGACTCTGCCTTTGCTCGGTGGCTGATGCCCACCCGATCCCATGGAGGAATAAAAAAATGAATCCTGGACGCCGTGCAGCCGAGCCCCATCCTTCTTACGCACACCCCCTGCTGCTGCCAGCACAAGGCGGCCTGCTTCAAATCACAACTGCTTTTATGAAAAAAATATTACTGCGTGTGGCAGCAAAGGCTTCCAAATACTCCAACGGCACCGACACAACTAGCAGAAGGATTATCTCTCACAGTGGCATATATTTATACGCATCCCGGCGCATGCGCACGGAGAGTACAGGCAGCAGCGAGCGGAGGATTGTCAGCACGGACGGACAGAGCTCGCTGCCTGAGCTCAGCCATGCTTCCCAAAGCCTCTCGGCGGGAGCACAACGCCTGCCTACAGGAGAGAAATTTGGTAGAGAATTAAAGGAGGGAGCCCTTCAGTTGGGATCTGGGGTTGGATGCCTGTAAATAAACAGGGAGAAGGGGAGGGCAGAGCTGGCTTCCACACCGAAACGCTCCCGGATCCCACACTCCGGCCCCGCTTGGCTCCTCTGTGCAGGGAGTGTTTAATCACTTTGCAAGCCATAAAACCCCTCAGTGTTTCCCGAGGCTGGGGCTGGAGGAGGGCAGCGGCAGGAGAGCCGAGGGCCCGCAGAAGGAGGACGTGGGGTTGTGAGGAGGGGTGCAGCCCCCTGGGTGTCTCCCGGGGCTGGGGGCGAAGCCGCGCTCGTGCGGGGCAGAGGCGGCGGAAGGGAGAGAGCTCGTCCTCCTCTGGCGACAGGGGAGCCGCGGCAGCCTGGCAGCCTGGTTTTTTCATATTTAGGACAGGAAACAGATGCTGCCTGGGGGAGGAAATATCTGAAGAAAATAAGTGCACCTTGTGCCTTCCCCAGCAGGAACTCGGTGGGAACAGGGGGTGCTGGGCTGGAACACCCCGATTCGGCCCCAGCCAGGGCAGGTGCAGCTCAGCTGGGTTTGACGGCATCGCCCTCGGCTGCATCAGCAGGGACCAGGGCCCAAAGGGCTTTTTTCCTTCAGGTATTTTATTTCTCCTTAGAAACACGGGGAGCTGGCGCAAGGGAAGTGCGGATGAGTCGTGTCCCCGTGGGGGAGGCGACCGTCCCCTCCTCTGGCGGCTGCTCCTTGTGCGACCTGGCCTGGGGGTCATATGAAATGAGCTGATGAAGCATTTCTCACCTCGCCTACAGCCCAGGAAAAGCGGGTTCAGCGTCGCGCTCGGCCCGGGTATGAAGCAAGACCCCTTCCCTCTGCTCTGCGGGAGGTTTCCAGTCCCAGGGCACACACCTACGCAGGCACGTGGACGTGGGTTTACTGAAGACGGGGCTTTTTCTAATCACATCTCCAGCCCACAGCTGTTAAAAAGGACAGACAAAAGGCAACCTGACAGCTTGTCCCCTGGTAGGACCCGCAGCGCCTGCAGGCATCTTATAGAGAGTCAGCGTCCCCACGGAACACCTGCCTTCGAAGAAAAAGCTTGGGGATGGTCTCACGCTATTAAATTTTATGGGCTGGTGCAAATAAAACCTTGTGCAAAGGATACTCGTTTCCCTTCTGCACCAAAGCACCTTTCCACAAGTGGGTGCTGCTGCCCCGCTGAGCCGGGTCTGGGTATTTTCGGGAGGTGAAGCAGGAGGTTTCCAAGCCCCCCGCTCGGGCCGGGGTCCCCTTGACTGAATCTTGCTGTGCTGCTCTTTGTGAGACCAGAAATCTGGCAGCCAGGGGCCGGCTTCTTGTTACATCCTATAGTACCTCAGCATTTATGGAGAGGTTTGTTCTGTGGCAACAGGCCAGAGCATTTCCGTGTAGCTCCACCAATTTGAGAAACTGTTTCCTTAAATAGAGCTGAAAAGCCAAAGCAAATACTCTTGAAGGAAGAGCTGTTAGCAGGGGCAAGAGCAGCACGAGAGGAGGATGTCAGGTCTCCAGCCAGCCTGCGGTTTGCTGCAGGAGTCCCCTCGCTGGCTGCGTGCACCAGCCTCGTGCTGCATTTCACAGCCTGAGCTTCTGCAGAGGCACCTCCTGCCCCGGCTCACCCAGCACCTGCAGAAATAGTTGGGTCAGCCCAAGAGAGAGGGCCGGGGCTTGGGAAAGGGGGACCCTGGCAGGGTGAGGAAGATCCTGTATCTTGTCAGGGCACCAGCAGGGACTCAGACTCGTGGGGACGGCTGCCGCCTCCCGGCAGCTTCTGCTGGAGCCCGGGCTCTGCCAACCCCCCGCCTGCCGCAGAGCTCAGCAAGGCTTCCTACTAACAGAGAAAACCACCCGTGAGCACGAGCAACCCCAACCACTCCCCCAGCACAACCTCGTCAAGCCACCCCTCAGTCCCAAACCTCTCACGCCTTTCGCCTCAGAAACACAAAAGAGTTTCTTTGGTTTGGGAGTTAGCTGGGAACCTGAACGCAGCATCGCACTGCCAGAGCTTAATTAGCCGAACACAGAGATACACGCAATTGTCAGTCCAGAATGCAGGACCTGGGAAATGTTTCAGTTGTATCCAGCCCAGCCAGGCTGATGAGCAGGGCACAGCTCACATGGTGCTCACTCCCAGCTCCACTGTGGGCTCCACGCTAGAAATAACTGACTCCGACTTCTGGAGCAGGATGTAAGTCCTCAGAATGAAAGCGTATGTTTCTTTGAACTTCTGTATTTTGAAGGCATAGACGACGGGGTTCATGGCGGAGTTGGCATGAGACAGCAGGATGCCCAGGTACATCAGAGGCTGCGGGATGGCGCAGGAGGGGCAGAAGAACACAGTGCAGTTCAGGATGCCCAGAGGCAGCCAAGACACTGCAAACAAGAAGAGGATGAGGGCCAGGTATTTGGCCATTTTGTATTCTTTCCCACAAACTGTTTCTCCTCCTGGAAGACTTGCTGAGTTCTGGTTTAGTTTTATCCACATGATGTAAAAAATCTCAGTGTAGAGGGCACACATGATGAGCAAGGGAAGGAGGGTCCAGGTGAAGAAGCTGAAATACACCACATAATCCATTCGCATCACAGCCGGGTAGCGACACTCGATGAAGCTGGAGCTGCCCGTGCACTGGTTCCACCCCAGCATAGGGACCAGCCCCACCAGCACAGACACAAGCCAGCTGAGTCCCAGCGTCACACAAATCCTTTGCTTCGTGACAGCTGCCCTGTACCTGGGTGGGCAGGAAGCATCAGCCACGTTAGATGAGATCTTCCGAAAGAAGAACTACTGTATCCACGAACTCGGGCTTTTAAGCACTCATTTCTGGTTGGTCTCACTCGAGTTAAGCACAGTTCTGTGCGGTTGGTCCTTAGCAGCTTCTGACATTGAAAAATGTAGTTTGAAACTACAGGGGAACCTCCAAACGGTCACTGATCCCTTTTAACTGAGAACCCACAGACCAGGGTCAAACCCCTCCCTCACAAACACTGGTTCATTTTGAGCTACATCAAAGCAGTATGGTTGTCTCCCAGGGGAAAACCTAAAGACCACCACCTGATTCAGACTTTAAGCATAAACACGTTTATGAGCAACCCTTCCCTGACTCTCTGTAGCTTAAGATTTTCAGGCACTGCTGAATTCCCAGGCTGCTGGCACTCCCTCGCCTACACTTCGGGAACCTCTGCCTTTGTGAGAGCTTCTTTCAGAGAACCAACGATCCCCGGGAAGCCCTACGATGCTGCAAGGAAGGGAAAAGGAAAATATACCGGAGGAAAGAGATGGGGAAAAGATGATGAGATGGGACCTTCACCCAGACTCACCTGATCGGCAGCTTCACTCGCAGGTACCTGTCGACTGCGACAGCCAGGAGAGACAGGATGGAGGCGTGAGAAAAGACCATCATCAGGCAGCACATGAACGGGCAGGAGTAGAAATGCATGACGGCTCCCAGGCTCACCATGACAGCCAGCGGCACGACAAGGATCCCCATGGCAATGTCACTGAGGGCCAGGGAAACGATGTAAAAGAAGGTGGTCTTCTGCAGAGCTGGGTTCAGCCTCACTGCCCAGACCACCAAGACATTGCCCACCACGGCACATATTCCAATAACAGACTCCATCATGATATAGATCACATCCAGGCTGCCTAGTGACATTTTGGACATCTGAGGCTGTTTACATCCAAAATTTAAAAATGCTGTGCTGAATTCTCTTTTTTCCTCCAACAGCTAGGTCAGAAGCCAGCTCCTCCCTGGTCTGCCTTAAATTCAAGTCCTTCATTTAGAATTCTGCACGCTTTCTGATCTGCATACACACGTATCTAAAGATGAGCAGAGCAAATTGTCCATGAAGATCCATTTATTTGACCTTCTATAACAAACCCTGCAACATCCTTCCTTCCGTCCCCTGGAGGCTTCAGCACACTTACAAATGCCTTTTGTAGAATAGACGACGTTATATAGTGGTGGCCTCACACTATGAACAAACCACAGGGGCTACTTGCTGCGTGTGGTAATTTGCTAATCTACTTTAGCTGCAGATGCACCATCTCCTCCCAGCCGGGTGCTCTGTACTGCCTAGCAGGGTGAATTAGCCAACGCACAGCCCTGCGGTGAGGTTGCTCGGCCTCCGAGCTTCTTTACTACACGTGGTGAGGGTGTAGCATCGGAGAAAACAGGGCCAAGGGACCTGGAGTGAGCTAGTCCGTTCCCCTGCCACAAAGAAGGGGTGGGGAGGGCAAGTGTGAAGACACTCGGCTGGATTTTGGGCGAGCAAGAGGAAAATGAGGGGAGAAAGACTCTGTTTGGAGTCTGTGCACAAGCTGCTCCCCCGAGGTCCCAGGCAGTACCACGTTCTGGTTCTCAGGAGCTGCTCTGACAGCAGGCACAGGGCAGGGTGGGCCCCGTTAAAGCCCCTCTAACACCGCTTTGCAGGAGCTCTCTGAGGGGCCTCTGGCTGCAGCCACAGAGTAGACGACAGAAAAAGGAAGCTGGCAGCTGAGGTCAAGCGAGGAGATGCACAGCGAGCGCGTAAGTGGGCACTGCCCATGCCCGGGAGGACACAGACATTTCCCACGTCTGCTCAAAGCTGCACAGCGCCCGCTGCCTGCTCCTGCCCAGAGTAACCCATCCAGTCTACGGAAGCCTGGCATCGCACGCCTCTCCTCGGACTCATCTCCCGCACCCACAGATAGCCCGTGTCAGATCTGATTGGAAAACCAGCACAGCCGAGTTCAGCTGCACACTGGGACTGTCTACAGCCAACTCACCATCTTCCCAGCAGGAATTCTACCAAAATCCCCTCCAGTCAGGGAACTTACACTGATTTCAAGGAAGCAGAAATTTATCCAACTCTTTTGACATCAGAGAATAAAGAAGTCTCAGCTATTTTTGGCTCCGTTTCCTCCCAGGTCTGATTTCACTTCTCCATCACCCATTTTACCGGAAAGCCGGGTGGAAGAGATGGGAGGACTCTGTGTCTGTGAAACCAGATACTACCCATGTTTGCTTAAGGCTTCGTTACACTAATATGGCACCATCCACCTGATCGTTTACGTGCCCTTTGCTCACTCCTGCAGAGCATTTCTCCGTGCCCGACAGCCAGGCTGCCCCGCGGCCCGCAGGCTGCCACAGGCTCACATGTTCACGTTTTTTCTCCGTTTCACCCGAAACGGGAGCCGTTCTTCCACCGCAGACCCGCGCCGAGGAGCAAGGCACCCGTGGTAAGCTGATCACAGATTTCACACCCTCTCCCTGCTACCTCCCATCACTTCCCACACCTTTCCTCAGTTTCTCTGTCTTCCATAAACAAAGCATCGGAAAGCGTGGCGCTCCCTGAACATGGCTTGGTTGGTTGCCACACTGATCTCCAGCAGAAATGAGGGCTCCCACTGAAAACGTCACCTGCATTACGAGTGCAGGACAAGAGCAGGTTTTGGCCACCTGAAATGGTATACTCTGAATTAAATAAAGTCTTGGAATGTAACGAAACACCCTTCTAACACCCCCTGAACTGCCTCATTTCCTATAGCGACTGCAGAGCGATTATCGAGGTTGATAAGGGGCAGCTTTGCACAGTCAAGTCTGGTTACAGTTCTCCCACTTCTAAAACTGTGGCTTGGAAGAGGAAGCAGTTACAGTTTGTTTATAAGTTGCTAGTAAGCAGGCTTGTAGAAACTTTTCTATTTTTTTCCCCTTCAAAATAGCTTTCTAAAGTACTTTACTGGTATCAGGCTGCTGAAGGGATGCTGTGAGCTTCCAGAGAGGTGTCCAGAAGGGGGAACGTTTCCTGGGCACTAAGGTATTTGCAACTCTGTGGAAAGGCAACTGCTGATTCGCTGCCCAAGCGTGGCGGACGTGAAACACTGGAAGAGGTTCACACGCTGGAAAGTTGCTGCAACAACTGATCACCAGACACCGAGAGCAATCCCACACAGAGTCATCGATGCCCATGGTCCCTTCTGCAGCTCAGGCCAGGGTGGGAGCGTCTCCAGCAACTCGCCATGCCAAACGACAGCCTGGAGCTCAGCAGCCTGGACGGGATTTACATCGGTACCGAGTGCTTGGTTGCTCTGTCTGCCACTTTGGGTAACATCCTGGTCATCTGGGTGGTGAAGCTGAACTCGACGTTCCAGAACACGACTCTGTACTTCATCGTCTCCCTGGCGCTGGCCGACATCGCAGTGGGGATCCTCGTCGTGCCCCTGGCCATCGTGGTGAGTCTGGGCATCCGCGTCCACTTCTACACCTGCCTATTCATGTGCTGCCTGATGGTGGTTTTCACTAACGCGTCCATCCTCTCCCTCCTGGCCATCGCGATCGACAGGTACCTGCGAGTGAAGCTGCCAACCAGGTGAGCTCTGGGCCACCACAGGCCCCCTGCTCCTGCCAACCTTCTCATGCCAGCCTCTCTCCCATGGGTGCCACCTCCTCTCTCCTCAACTTGGCCCTTTTGTAACAAATACTTACTCTAAATGCATGCTTGCACATGGAGAAAATACCTGTTCCTAAACGCCCATCCGAGATGAGTTTTCTAGAACAGGAACCACTCCCTGCAGTTAATAATGCACCGCGGGCAGCCCCCGGGGCGCTTGTGTGGGGCTGACAGCTCGGTGTCATTGCCCATCAGAATTTGGCCACAGGATGAGTCCATGGTCAAACGGTTGACCAACAGGATGCTAAGAGTGCTATAGCTTTCTTGGGAGGCTAGTCTGCTAAACAAAATTCCTGTTAGTGTTTGCCGAAAATCCAAAAGAAGTAACAGACTTACTCAGGGCTAACTGTAAGAAGTCATTCACTTTTTATAAGGGAATGCAAAAGTCCATAAGCTAGAAATGGAAAGCATAACCTCAAGCATTAAAGAAGTCATATTTCTTATGGGGAAAGGACCTACAAAACTGAAGAATGAAAGAACAGTTTGGTCCCACAAATGGCATAAACCAAATGTAAAGAGCAAGGTACGCCCAGGGAAGCTGAGGAATAAGACAGGACTGCTAATAATGGAAAAAACAGGATCTAGGCAAGAGGAGCACTCAGATCATAGTGAAACAAGAAATGAAATAGCTGAAAAGATCCAATTATAAAGAGGGGAAGTTAATCTTAGTTCTCCTTACGGGTGCTCTAAGTAATTGTTACAAATGAACAATTAGGGCTCCTATAAAGATTCGATTTCCCCGCAGAAAAAGAGTTAATGCTCCGTTTTGTGACGATGAACCTGTGGTACTTTAACACCTGAGTTCTTGAAACCATCCTTAACTATTTTTAAACCCTTCTGTTTAACACAACCTGTGTTTTCTTCCCCAACAGATATAAAATAATCACTACAGAAAGAAGAGTTTGGTGGGCACTGGGTTTGTGCTGGTCTGTGTCCCTGCTGGTAGGATTAGTCCCCATGTTTGGATGGAACAAGGCAGAACCAAGAGACTCTGACTTTCTCAGGTGTCAATTTTCCTCTGTGATGAGGATGGATTACATGGTATATTTTGGCTTCTTCACATGGACCCTTGTCCCTCTGCTCATCATGTGTGCTCTGTATGCTGAAATCTTCCACATCATCCGGACAAAGCTAAGTCAAGGTACAACCAGAGGGGCGGGAGGTTTTTACGGACAGGAGTTCAAGACAGCCAAATCTCTAGCACTTGTTCTCTTCCTGTTTGCGATATCCTGGTTGCCTCTGTGCATTATAAACTGTGTTTCCTATTTTTGCCCTGACTGTCAGATCCCCCCGTATTTGATGTACTTGGGAATCCTGTTATCCCATGCCAACTCTGCCATGAACCCCATTGTCTACGCTTGCAAGATAAAGAAGTTCAAAACCACGTACCTTTTAATTTTAAGGACCTATATCCTGTGCAAAAAAACAGCCCCAGTTCTTACAGAGCAAACAACAGACCAACAGTCATAAACAAAGAACAAATCTTGACCTGCCAGTATCTACCAGACCATTGATAAACCACTTGCTTTGATAAGGAACTCATGGGAAAATGTGTGTTCTGTTTCATCTCCTCCCGCTCTCGCACGAACTGTTTCATGACAAGGACAAGTTCCTCTTAGTCAAGCTGATGCACATCTGACATTAAGCTCAAAAGGATCATTCATGATCTTCTGCATTACTGTACCCCAGAGAATTCTCCTTGGTGGGTGCTGTACCAAGCCCAGATCTTCCAGGCAAGCGTCTTCCTTTAACAGGACCGTCTGGTTTTTATTTATTGGCTCGAGCCAATACCAACTGGCTCAAGCACAAGCCAAACCACTTGTGCTCCTAGCCCCCTGGCTTGGGTCCGCAGTGAGCTGGTAAAAAACAGGGCTTGGTCATTTCCAGTTTTAACTCAAGACTGAGGATTCTTTTTGCTATAATCTTGATTTCTTTTTGCCCAGTTATAGACCCTTTTCTTACACACAGCCAGACTCCTCCCGACTTTTTTTTCCCCATCCAATAGCACCTGCCCAGTAAAACTCTAACATCTCCTGTGACACCTTCACCTGCCGGTGACCCGCGCTGTGAAAGCACCCTCACCCGCTGCCGACCGTCTCAGCCGAACAGCCAGGAGCTGCGCTGACTTTGGTGACCCCCCTCTTCTGTGGGAGAGGTCCTGCAGTGGGAGACATTAATCACTTTAAAATCAAGACAATGCTCATGCCAGAAGCCTGCAAAATCGACCTCAGACATCGAGCACCAGGCAAGAGCCGAGCTGCCGAACACACTGAAGCTATTTGTTAATGAGATATGCTGGGACGGGGGAGCACGCCAGGAAGAGATGGCTGTCAAAAAATAAACCAAGGAAAGCTTTAAGTTCTTCCTTCCTCCCCCAGCTACCTGACCAAGGATAGGACCCACTGTCAGACAACCATCAAAGCAGCATTTTCCTAATTTGTTACTAAAAAAAAAAAAATCCATTTTGAGGATTCTTCTTGCACAGCACAGTCCCATGCTTAATTCTCTCCACAGTCTCAAGCTGTTTTCCTGACACCCAATTTAAATGTAGTTTGCTGCAAAGCTCCTCTGTGTTTTCTGCTGCTCTTTTTGTAGCAGCCTGTTCCAGATCTGAAGACTACTCTAAAGGTGTGTGTAAATATGTGTCTATATATGTCTTTGTATTAAATAATTTCAAAATACAGATAAGATACTTAAGAGAAATCTTGTCCAGTGTTGTTTTTTTCTACATAAGGACTGGTTGGGCCCACTGAAGAATAGGGAATGTTCTTTGTTGGTGGTAATAGAGCAGCTTGCAATCCAGGCGTGTCCTCGCGGACTATTCTTACACCCTTTGTCTTCTCTATCAATTTAGACTAAATTTGAGTGTGGTCTGCTTGTGCTACAGTCAGTGTTGTCACACTCTCACGAATAACAATAAATATTAGAGGAATTTTATATTAATTCAGCCTGCTCGTCTCCCATGACATTCACAAAAGCAGCCCGCACGGAATCTCCGCGCTGTTTTAGTCGGTGTCCTGACTAGGACAGCACCGAATTTGCAGTCAGGATTACACCACAGCTCACAGAGCCTGTTTTTAGGCCATGTGGGTCAAACCAAAAATAGGTCATTAAAGGCCAGGCTCTTTTTTTGCTATCTTTAAAAATAATAAAAGTGGTCTAGAAAAAGGAGAAAAGGGAGTGCATCATTCAGTTATTTATCTCAGAAAGTGTTGACGTCTGCTCCTTTAGCTGAGATCAGACTTCCCAATTTATTATCTGATGTAACCCTTGTCACAGGCCAAAGCTCTGCCCCGTTGCACAGTTTAATTCTATTAATAAACAGGCCAGCAAAGGAAGTCACTGCATAAGTACATCAGAGTTTTGCTGCATGATCTCTCATTATCAGTTGATAAAGCCGATTGTTTTCAGCAGAAAACCAGGTCCCACGTAAAGAACAGAATATTCACTAGAATGATGCACAGCAAATTTTGCCTATGTATTCTTGAGAAACTGAGTAAAGAAGGAGCAACCCCCCACTGAATTCTCAGCAGGCTGCCTGACAAACCCCAAGAGAAGGAGGTATAAGTATATGGAGAAAGAACAGAAACGGGGAGGGCTGTGAGCAAGGGAAGCCGTCCTGCCTGCTGAAAGGAGCTGCAGAGAACAGCCTCGGTGAGCTCCTGCCCCTGCTCAGCCCCCAGGAGGGAGCCCCAGGCAGCAGCTCACCTTTCAGTGAAGAAGCAAGAGTGGCTGCAGCCGTGGGTCAGGCAGAGGAGCAGCCGTCCCGTGGCGGAGGGGGCTGCTGCCAGCTGGAAAAACCTTCACGCAGGTCCAGGTCCCTGGTTCCCACTTCCAGCAGCCACTCTGGAAATTGTTGTGTTCAGCCCCAGAGAGAGATCAAACAGGCTGAGTAACGCTTAAACTAGACGTGAAGCTGGGCGAGGGCACATACCAACAGTCCATGTGTAGACAAATACCACTCAGGGAGAACAAAGGGTTTTGCTCTCCCGCGAGAGCTGACTCATGGCTGGCGGAGGGAAACGCAGCCTGACAGTCACGCCAACGTCACGGCTGGAGCCCTCAGAGCCCATCCTTTCCACGCTGCAACCGGACGTCGACTCCAAAATGCCAGGGAATGTCACAGGCCACTGCTGCCCGTGCATCCTTCAAAGCACTGCTGAACCCATGAGCCACTTCCACCCGCCCTCCTCCCAGGGCTGGACAATTTGTACTGGACTTTTCCATACCCAGGCAAACTCCTTGCAGATTCCTGCAGTGAAAGCTTGTCCTGTGGGAGACCACAAATACAAACACCTCCAGCAGAAACCTACTGAAATAGTGAAAATGGAAGAGCAAAACACAGGACATGCAACCCCTCCTCTATTCTGACTAGCAGATGCAGCCGTCCCGGATTCCTCTGTCTGTAAAACAAAGGGTTGGCTGATGGCTACCATTAGACTACACAGAGCTCTGGGCACGGGAAAGGGAGAGACAAACGGATGCTCTGGGGTGAGTCTGGGACTCGCTAGCAGTCACACAACAAACGTTCTCTGTCAGCCTCCACCTCGAGGGCCGTACCACGGTCAGCTGTCTCGGTAAGCACACGAAACGGCTGCACTGTGGTCAGCAGCATGTCACAAAGCACGCGGAATGGTTGAGCCAAGTCTCAGTAAAATTCACGGTGAGGAAACATCTACATGAAAACAACATCCTAGCTGGTCTTGGAGCTGGGGGGGGAAGCCTATGCTGAGTCACCTTTTCTTGAATTTCTAACACAGGAAGGTAGCAGCATGCTTGTTAGTATGAAGTTACACCTGTGCAAGCCAGGTGAATTTTCAGTTCAATTCTCAGTTGCTGTCAGGCAGCAGAGTTAACATTATTATTAACTAAAAAAATAATAATTGTGCGCCAACCACAATCATCCTTCATGAACCTCTCCTCAACTGCACATTTAGAGAGTACTCTGGTGTTTTCTCTATTAGATAGTGCTTGAAGAAACTGCCATGACTGAGTGCAGATAACATCAAAATGAAGACAGCAAGTTCTACTCCTGACCCTGTAAAACAGCCAGCAGCTTCCACCACGACGCCTCTCAGGCTGGATTTCCGAATGTAACGGTGTTTGTGCACCTGCTTTTCAGTGGCCCCTGGACCTCCCCAGCTTCTGCAGTCAGTCAGCCTCGGGAGCGGCAGAGGAGGAGCCGCCGCTCTGCTGCGCGCTCCTCGGAAAGCCACCGAACCCGCCACATCTAAGCCGAGCTAAATCCAGCTGCCCATCTGCGGCTGCGTGCTGCCATCAGCTGGCACAGCCAGTCTCGGTCCTTTGAAGCCTCTCGCTGGCTTCAGCAGCCACGCAGGGGAGGCTGCAGGACCCGAGGCACTTGCCCTGCCTAAGAGATTCTCTTAGAGGTGTTTGCAATGCACGCGTGCAAACACAGAATCAGAAACTCACGGACTGGTTTGGGTCAGAAGGGACCTTAAAGCCCATCCAGTGCCACCCCCTGCCCAGGGCAGGGCCACCTTCCACCAGCCCAGGTTGCCCAAAGCCCCGTCCAACCTGGCCTTGAGCCCTTCGAGGGAGGGGGCAGCCACAGCTTCTCTGGGCAGCCTGTGCCAGGGCCTCACCCCCCTCACAGGGTGGCTTTCTGGGCTGCGAACACACGTTTTTCACCCACTAACACCCCCAAGTCCTTTCCCTCGGGGCTGCTCTCCATCCACGCCTCACCCAGCCTGTGTTTGTGCTTAGGATTGCCCCAACCCACGGACAGGACTTGTTGCACTCAGCCTTGTTGAGCTCTGCATGTTCCACCTCTCCAGCCTGCCCAGGTCCCTCTGGATGGCACATCCCTTCCCTCAGCCTGCTGGCTGCACCACAGAACTCGGTGTCATTGGTGAACATGCTGAGGGTGCCTCAATCCCACTGTCCACGTCCCCAACAACGACGTTAAACAGAGCCAGTCCCAACCCTGACCCCTGAGGACACCACTCGTCACTGCTCTGCGCTTGGACATCGAGGCATTGACCACAGCTCTGAGTGCCACCATCTGGCCAGTTCCTTGACAGGTTTAAGCCTGTGAATCAGCAACATCTGCATTTTCAGAAAGGAGAAGTACCTGCAGGAATCTGACACTCTCCAGTGACCAGAAACAAGGAGGCTTCTGAAGCCCAGAGGGCTGGGGCAGCAGGAAGCTTCGCTCCGATTCAGCCTTGCAGGAGAAGCACTGAATGACAGCTGGAGATCACTGCACTTGGACAGCAAACCTCCCGCCCGCGGGCACAGGAACACGCAGAGAAGCTGCTCTGGGGCTGCTCAGACTGAGTCACTAGTGATAACTTATTCCCCAGTTTATGAAAAGGGGACGATTTTTAACTTTTTACCATGTATTTAGAACATTATGGGTAATAACACATGAATGAACGTTTCCAGAACTTCTGACTGTCACACTGTTACTGTGCATTTCTTTTATATGACCCAATCAGGAAGCAGACATTTGCATACAAACATTCCATTATCGTAACTTCAATAAGCAGAAAATAACTAATCAGAGTGTTTGGCAATCAAAAACCAATGAAAATGCTATAGTCAGTGACAGAAAAGGAAAACATAAGGGTACAGACATGAATAGGCACAGAGTAACGTTTCCATTTTTAAATTCTCTTTAGTTAAAGCAACGGCAAACACACAAATGGAAACTTTACAAGTGCAGTGAGGTTTCCACAGATGAGGAAATTTGGTATAAAAAGCAATTTGTCCAAAACTGTTGGCAAACAGTTTGACATCGGAGGCATTAGTCTCCCCTTATAACTATAAAATGAGCTGATGTTACATACGGCAGTGCTGGCATTTCTCAGGGTACTACAGGCCTTGACGTAACGTTCTGGTAGCGTCTGATGTTCAGACAAGTGCAAGCGTCTTCATTTCACCAGAAACTTCATCATGACACAGCCACTGGTGTCTGACTCCGCTGGAAGACCAGAGTGGTGTAGGCAACCTCATTCTGGGGATGTGAAAGAAGCTGCAAACATTAGAGAGTGTGCAAGCACTGCATCTCACCATGAATTTCCTGCTTTTAATTTGTCCTCAATGCTCCACACCGTAAGGGGTCACAGTCTGTCCCTGCACATGCTGGATCAGAGCAGCCGTTAGGCCAGTGTGGGATCCTGGGCCAGCTCTGCACTAGGGGCTTCTAAAGAATCAGTATCACGAAGGAAAACTGCAGAAATGCTTGCCCTTTAAAAAGATTTCCCTTAATCTGCTTTATTAGGGGTTTAGTTAAGCCCCAGAATCCTTGAAATATGTGGAGAACATGGCATTTGAGCCCCGTGACAACTACCTTTCCTCTTACTGTCCAGGTACCTCCTCAGGTAACTCCCTGGACTACTATAAACACAGGCTGAAGCCTCGGATCACAAAAGCAAGCACTTTTCCTTAGCCAAAAGAACTGTCGACAAACACTTGAGCCCTGCAAGAGCAAACCTCTTTCCTCCCCCCCAGAATTAGTATTTACCATTCTATCAAGAAGATGAGGTCTCTGCATAAAGTATTAGCAGTAACAGTTGTGACCTTTACCTGGATGTTCTCAGCGGATTCCTCAGTCCCTGTCAGGGAGGGGACTCGCTCCTGTAAGTTCTGGTGGGATCTTTTACACTCTAGGAGGGAGAGGGATAGCAGTCTCAGCTGTCTGCACCGCCAGTGGAGACAGCGGAGCAAGAGTGGGGCGACAGAGCGGCACCAGAACGCGCGGGGCTTAGACGTGGCTTATAAAATCTGTCACAGCCCTTCACTGCAAGGTGAGCATCTTGGTAGCCCGAGTCCCTGCCCACCTGCTGGATGAGAGCAGCTAATTAATTTGACAAGAATCCTGCGTGACCAGCATTAGGACAAAAAAAACCACCAAACCAAACCCAACCAACAAACCCCTCAACAGTGCTGAAGTGAACTCTTCTGTGAGAGCAGCCCCTGGGAGGATTTGCGAGGAGTTACTGCTGGGAGTGACTTGTTCATCAATACATTAATTATTCAGGGGAGACATAACCTGCAGAAGTGACTGTGAAACCCCAGCGCTGTCAGACACAGCCCAGAGAGCAGGGAAACCTGGCACTGCCCACGTGAAGACAGGCAGCAGGAGATGTTAAAACACTTCTCTGCCACCAGGTCCGGGTGGTCAAGCTGCTGTTTGTTGTTGCCTCTACTGTGCCACTTACTTTTTCTGAAGAGGTAGATGATTGCAAAAATCAGGACAGTTGACAGGATGCCAGAGATAAAGGCTAGCAATATGTAGAGTATTTCACGGCTGTTGATACACAGAAAATAGTGTCAGAATCCCCAGTTCTAACAGAGGTGTTGAAGAACCAGTAGTGCTCAAATTCACCAAACTTTATGAACAGTAATACATTATTTATCCCAAGCCCCATGAGATTAAAGGGTGTGTATCTGCATTAAGCACCGCTTTGAATTAAACATATAGCGCACAGGCTAGGAGATTCTAAGGAACCTTTTAAAACCCAAAGACATAAGATGTATTACATAAACTCCTCCCTTACAGGAGGAATCTGCAGTCTCTGTGCTTGAAGTCAGGAAGTAAAGGTGGAACATTTACTTATCAATCCAGCATCTGACTTCTGAAGGTTCTAAGTCAGTCGTAGAGGTATATACAGTGGCATGTACAGTGACAGTAGTGGAAATGGGTTCTGGTGTAACTGGAACTGAATAGAAAAAACAAAACAAAACAAAACTGTTCTTGAAACCTGTTATTTTCTCCAGTAATATTAGAAGCAACAAGAACTACACAGAGGCAGGAGCCTATCCAAGTATTATTGTAAGTATAACATTTCTCTATCAGAGGGCTGAAAGTAGAAACGCCAGAGAAAAAAATTTAATTCTTCGTATTATTAGTCCCACAGCAGCCTTTGGCAGCCGTGCAGTTCCTCCCCAAACGCACGCATCTCCTGCTAACCCCCCCCAGCAGCCCTTTCTGAGTCAGGGCAGTATCAGCTTAGTCAAGAACACTGCACCTAAGAAAATCTCTTAAAGAAAATACCTGCTTTTGGTTTTGAGAAAGCACTTCCCATTCTCCAAGCACAACGAACATTAAGAGAAGCTAAAAGGAGGCAAGGGGGAAAATATTTATATACATAGACACACACACACACACACTAGAGCAAACCAAACCTGCCGTCCTCTTTGAGCTCACAGACTTTATTTAGTTTTTATCCATTTTTTCAGACATCTCATACAAACTGACACAAAGCCACAGCAGCAAACCTGGCAATTACTCAGCAGGAGTTCTATTTCCCCGTTTCAGTGCACACCCATGCACTTTCACTACACTTTGATGAACGTTCCTTCTTCTCTCAAAAGGGCAGAGGGTACTCAATAACTAAAAAAGCACCCACAGTACTATTTTTGCAGCAGCTAGAACTGAGTAAACTTTCTGACGTTTTCATCACCAGCAGCTTTGAAAAAATGCCCCTTTAAGATTTTTCTTACTCAAGTTACATTGACTTTTCCCACCAAAGCAGGAATGGCAACTTTCTTCTCAAATTTGGGGGTAGAATGCTAAAGATAAGAAAATATCAGACAGCTACAAACTTCCTACCCTGGTATTTCTCTCTGCACAGCTTGCAAACTGCACTCCCTCAGCCAACACCTCCATGTTACTCACAACTTTGAAAGCAAACGCCCTGCTCTCCGCTGCCAGCACCTTTTATTACAGATGTCCATGACTGCCCCCATCCAGAAGCCACAGTTAAGACCTCCTGGTTCCCTACGCCAGCTCTAAAAGCACACTGTGTTCACAGCAATAAAGCAACGACAAAAAGGGGCCACAGCTCCATCTTACCTCTCACCACAAAACTGCTGCTCACCTGCTGACAGAACACTCCGAGGTGGTAGAACTGCACTTTGACTGCTCGCTTGGTGAAAAGAACCTCTGTCAACTCCTGAAAGCTCGTGTGGCAGTCAAACGTAGGGTTACACAAATGTGGAAGTTAAGCAACTTCACTTTTTTTTTTTTTTAATTAAAAAAAAAAAAGATAAGAAACAAACACCTGCATTTTCAGGAAGTGTTGGTCTAAAAATAAGTCAGCGTCAGCTAGCTTACTTTTAAGGAAGGTTCTTACCTCTAAAGAACACCTTTTTTTGTTGAATTGTTGAAAAGTGTAGAAAACTCTTGCTATTTTACTAACTCCGCTAAAAATAAGCATTTCCCTACCGTAGTACCAACCCACATAAAAGAGGCATGTAAGCACACCCTAGTCTGCTCACTGAAGCTTATTTACTAAATCAATCTCTTCCCAACACAGAAGGGATGAGACTACACATAGGCAGGTGTTTTGCTCATCTGGGACACTTGAGATGTAACAAAATCCTTTAGGGAAAAGGTTTCCTATAAAAAGAAAATTAAAAGTTTTATACTGTGTATTATCATAATACACAAATCTATTTTCCTTGTTACACAAAAGAATTTTTTTTCTATGAAAAACCAGAAAAACCCAGCCTCTAGAATAAACTTATCTATTTCACTGTTTTAAACTTAATACTGGCAAGTGCAACTAAAGCCAAGTTTTCCCGTAGCTTTTGACACGTTTCCTGCCAGCCACATCCTCTTTTCCACCAAACAGGAAGATGCTTTCATCACAATTTGAAGCTCTCTTATGAAAGGGTTTTTTTTCAGTTAATTTGTCAAATGAGGACCTTCCTTCAGAGCACCCCAGAGCTGCACCAGGGGAACGGGAGCGCTGGCACTCACCGCGGCCTGGGCACACCTTTACAATTGCAGCAGGTACCCGTAGGTCACCACGACAGAGAGTTCTGAGCCCAAATCTTATCACTGTATCAGCACCAGAGTTTTTCCACTGTGAAGTTCTGCGTCTAGAAGTGTTCATGACCAAACAAGGAACCAAGCAAACAGATTTGCACACACTGTGGTTGCCAGTAATCCGCCACAATAAACTAACTGCAGTGGTTTATGTGACCAATCTAGCTATTTCAGACAGAAAAAGGGAATTACTGTTGCTATTGCTAGTGAAAGACAGCAGAGTGGTTGGTTTGTTTGTTTAATGATACTTTAGAATCATACAGTTTCCAACAGCAATGAGACACATGCCAGTGGAATCAACGTGGTTACGCCGCTGCCTGCATGCTCTTCGATAACGCCTTCAGGTCCAAAATGCACTTGGCAATACTCTCCTTCTGCTGCAAATGGAAGGAAAACAGCTTTCAGGAGAAAGACTCCACGGAAGACATTTCAAGAGGCAACGTGTACGTTCTGATGCATTTTAGGTACTCCTTTTCAGACCTCTAAAATGAGCTATAGATTAAAGGGGATATAATTACAGCTCATGGACTGAAGAGATTCAAACCCAAACGATGACTTGCACTACAGCATCTGCATGCCGCTCTAAGAACCTGTTTTCTGTTTTTCTTCTCAGCTTTATTCCTTAAAAGGATGGACATCTAGAGCCCATCTGCAGATCTTAAGCCACCATGGTCTTACACAGGGAATTTTACAAGTTTTTTTTTTTTTAATGTACAATTTTACAAGCTTAGCTCTATGCTGCAACATCACCACACGTGTTCAATAGCTTAAATCACCAGCAACACAAGCATCCAGGACCTAGTACCTGGGCTTGCTAGTTCATACTCAGCAGTAGGAACACGTTGCAGACACATCTGGAAATCACCCACAGATGAACTATCATCTCTGGCTTAAAGGAGAATCTTTGGACAGAAAATATTTATACAGACTAAAATGTAAAGCAGACTAAAAGGACGTACCTGTTGAGGTGTGATGCTCTGAACAACGCTTTTCTCCACCCACTGGATCATGTGCTCTTGTTCTTTCTGACGCTTTAAATTCTGCATAGCCACTTGATAGTCCAGCCTTTTCTTTACTTCATTGTACACTGTCAGTAATCTTTCTCGATAATTAGTTTCCAGCAACATTGCAACATTATTCTAGACAGAGAAGATGAAATGAAAGGGTTAACGTTTGGCAATACAAGACAGCAGCAGAACACAATCCATAGCAAAAGTGACTGGATCAGGCCCCCCCAACAGGGAGAAGGTAAGTGGTTTGCTACTTCTTAGCAGTTGAAGGGGCCCCCAGATTACGTAGCAGCAGAAGGGAACCGCGTACCCGCTTAGCATCAAAGAGGTAACTGCAGCCTTCAGCCCGCCACTGCTCCTTCTTCTCGGCTTCAATGGCAGTCTCAAGACTGTTAATAGTGTCATTTTTCACAGCTAAAGCTGTAGCAACTTTCTCCTGAAAGAAGAAACAAACCCCATGTTTCAGAATGAAAGTAAGGCGCAAAGAAAACAACTGATCTGCAATTAACTTCTGAAATTCCACATTAGGAGATGTTTGCATAAACTAGATTGTGCCAGGACTGAGGTTAAAGAATGACAAGACAGAAGAGTTAGGGTTCACAATCGATCATACTTTAAAGACATCATTTGTGCTGGTACAAGGCATTTTAGTTTCGAAGATTTCTGTAACAATACCAATATAAAATCTAAAACATACCTTATTTAAGCAACATTCTGAAGGTATTAGACTCGGATTTTCACGACAGCCTGGACACTGATACTCTTTATAGTATTTAAGCAGGTAACTTAGAATAGTTACTATTACAAAGTTAGATTATGGTTTCTTTTGTTACCTCATTCAGTTTGTCAGCAAAAGCTGCTACAGCAGACCCGTATTTTTTCACGCCATAAATGATGACTGACAATATGAAGACAGCTGCAACCGTCTCGTGGTTAACAACATAGATTTCCTTAGACAGCAAGTAAAGCAGAAGCCCAGTTCCAAACATGTAAGGGCCTAAAGAAAAAATAAAGCAGAATTATTTGTACAAAGCGTAAAGAGGCTCACTAAAGTCAACCCCCTAGGAGATAGCTATTTTAAGGTTCACAGGAGGATGAGGAAGCATTCTCTTTTGCCACAACAAAAAGTAGAAACCCAATACCACCAAGGGGAAAGGTGCCATGAGGCTGCTCACCAGAAGTGGAAACAACTTGCATGGACTTGCTGCTTCTGCTCATTCAGAAACAGGCAAGTCTCTGTTTAAAGGTTCCGAGGGTCAGCAAACAAATCTTCCTGTAAAACCATGCTCGTGACATTCCTTTAGTATTTATTTAAAGCACAGGTGCCGAGCTTTAGAGCCAGGAAGTGCTGCACAACCCCACTCTTCACAAACTCCTTCTGCATATGCAAAAAAACCCCACTTCTCAATATTTTACCTTTTCAGCAGGAAGAAGTGGTGGGCAGCACTAACTAAGCATAACTAAACGCGTTTTTTTAAGAAATATAAAAGTATCTATTAACCTGTAACTCCTGTTTTAGGATAGAGAAACTGGAAAAACTCCTCAGGGATCAAACCATGACGCACTTCTCCTCCTTTCTCAGGCAGGGGTGGCAAAGGAGCCAAACGCTGCTGAGTTGTATGCAGCTGTCTTGCGGCGTGCAATACACTATGAATAATGAGAGTTTCCATTAAGCTTATTACAAAGAAAAACAAACGAAACGCACCCTTAGATGAGGCCCAAGCACCTTCCCGTTGAAGAGGCGGGTGCCCGTTAGACACGCCTCCTGCGAGGAGCAGGGCGGGCCTCCGTGACCTCCAGAGGCCCCGACCGACCGACCCTGTTCTACAAGCCCGCAACTTTAATGAGAAAATCAAAGGCATCCCCCCGGTATACCGTTATTTAAAACCAACGACTGGCAGGCTTCTGAGGCGCTCGCAGGCCTCCCCGGGCAGCCCGTCCCCGGCAGGGGCCGGAGAGCGGAGCCCTCAGCGCTGCCCGCGGTACTCACCCCACGGCGACGGGAGGCGGGAGGCTCCTCAGGGCGGCCGGGGCTGAGGGAAGAAGAGGGGCAGAGAGCGCGTCAGGACCCAGCTCGGCCAGAGCAACCCCCCCGCCGC